GCCCACCTTCTGGGGAGTCCCCTCGTGGACACGGGCCCCAGCCCCCCGATCTGACTTTCCAGGTATTTCACAGGAAGTCGCCCATGTTAACAGTTGTGGCTTGATTTTCCTTGAACGCCTGTGTGGGCCCAACAGAACGTGCTGGTGGGCCGGGTTGGGCCCCGGGCTCCAGCTGGCCACCTCTGGCTCAGGGGGTGTCACCAACATGTTTGGGGCCTGTGGTAGCACCCCCCTCTGGCTTCCTGACCTCGTCCCCCAGCCATCCCGCCTCCGGCCGTCAGCACCCACGGGGCCACCCAAAGAGTGGCTGACTCAAGCTGTCTGGGCTGCAGGGGGGTGGAGCAGCCAGGACACCCCGACCTGCGGCACCTCCACTGACCCGGCTTGAGCTGCAGGGCGGGGCCTTTGCGGTCATTTTTCAAGATCCCCCGGTGGGTCCCCTCGGGGTGGGGTGCCAGTGTCCCCCAGCAGGGACCAGCCCAGAGCCCCCATCGCCCCACTTGTCCCCACGGGTCTCGCTCTCCCTGGCCTCACCCCGGTCCTGGGGTTCATCCCCCCATACACCAGCAGCAGGGGAATCCTCATCTCCAGCTCTGCTCTTGGGCTCCCCATGCTAAAACAGTGGGGTTTTAAATGCAGCAGAAATAATCCCAGGAGTGACAAGTGCCAGGTAGGGGGAAGCAGGGCCGTCGCTGGGGACCCGCCGGCGGGGCCAGACGGGGGGCGGCTGCCGGGGCAGTGGGCAGGGCGCTGCGGAGAATGGGGTGGCTCTCACCGTGGCTGCCCTTCAGAGTCCCCTGGGAGCCGCGAAAGAACTCCCACGGCTCAGCCGCGCCAGAGATGCCGGCCCGGGGGGTCTGGAAGCTGCGTTTCCCAAGGCCGAGGCGCGAGAGGGAAAGTCCCGGATGGCGCGTGGGCCCTCTGTGCCGGCGTCTCACTGGAGGTCTGGGGCGGCGCGTGCTTCTGGATCGTGGACCAGCGCTCCAGGCGATTCCTCCTCCGGCTCGCGGCTGGCAGCTCCTGCCTCCGCGACCGGATGGGGTGCCGGCCCTGCAGCGGGGGTTCAGGCCTGCAGGGTGTCTGAAGGGGCCCAGGCCTCTTCTCGATTCTCGCTGGGCAGCCAAGCAGCACCACCGGCCCAGGGCCCGGATGCCAGGCCGGGCCGAGGGCTCAGCTTCCAGCCCCACCTCGTCTGCACAACCCAGGACCTGCCGCAGACGGTCCCGGTTTGAGCAGTGCCGGTGGCCACGTGGCAGGGAGCAGCGATGCCCAGCAGGGACGCGCCCTGGCCGAGGCCTGCACGGGTCCCCACCTGGCTCCGCCGAGGCTTCGTGGACGTGAGGCTGCCAGCAGCGGCTGTCTCAGCCGGCTGCCTGGGATGACTGTTGGCAGGACACGATTCTGACAGAGGCCAAGAGCGCCCCCCAGCACGCCTGCCCCTGCCCCGGGCCCTGGCAGCCTCCTCCTTACATGTGTGGCGGGAAGGCGTGGAAGGAACGGCAGGGAGGGTGACGGTGAGGCTGAAGGCCGGTTGTAGGCAAAGGCCCGCAAATGGAATTCGGGCTTTGGGGGTCTGGGACTTTGTTCAAGCATGGTCCCGTTCACCTCCCGCAGCCGTCGTGTCCTTCAGCCGCCCTCCCGTCCATGCTTCCATGTGTCCGGCGGTCCAGCCATCCAGCCCACCCGTGCAGCTGTCCAATTCTTTCTCCCTCCCACCCCCTTCGCTTCCTCCCTCTTCCTTCCCCCGCCCTCCCCTCTCCCTTCTGCCCTACTTCCCACCTGGCACATAGCACAGAGAGTCCACAGCAGGCCAGACCCTGAATCCAGCCTTGGGAAGCCTGGGTCAAACCAGACACCATCCTTGCTGGGATTCAGCTAGAGAAGGAAGACAGAGAAAATCCAGCTGGCACCACAGGGTGACCCGCGAGCTGTGTGCCAAGGGGCATCGCTGATCTGCAATGGGGGGGGGGGGCGGATTTTAAGGGCACAAGGACACAGACTTCACTGCGCAAGGCCCAGACTGAGCTGGCTCTCCTCTGCCAGCCCTTCAGGTCCTGTCTGAGGAAACTGCTGGCTGGGTACAGCAGTGCTGACGGGCTGGTCTCCCCTTGACAGAGAGGCTGGGCCTTGGGCCCAGAAGCCACGGCAGGCCAGCATCTGGCTAGAATTTAATTACATGGGTTTGCTTTCATTGTATTTACCTTTGTGGTATCTTTCATTTCTGGCAAGTACATTGACCCCTGAAAAGAGGTGTCCGCGTTCTCACCGCCAGTACCGGGGAAGGGACCTCATTTGGAAACAGTGTCTTCGCAAGGGTAATGGAGGATCTGGGGATGAGATCATCTTGGATCCGAGTAGATTCTGAATCCAGTGACCAGTGTCCCCAGAAGCAGGAGAGGTGGGTCTGACGCGGAGGTGCAGGCAAGAAGGCCCCGCGGAGGCAGACGCCGAGGTCAGGCTGACTCAGCCGCAAGCCAAGGACTGCCAGCAGCCCCGGAGCCGGCCCACTCCGGCCCTCCACCGGGCCTCTGGCCTCTGGGACTGAGCATAAAGCTCTGTTCCTAAACTACCCGTGTGTGGTGACGTGTTCTGGGAATTTAGGCCTGGGAATCAAACACAGCACGTGGCCTGGCTTTGTGGTCCTGCGGTGAAGACGCCCTTTAAAGAGACGGAGCTTATGAGGCCGGCAGGGTCAAGGAAGTGACCCTTCAGTGTTACATGTGCGTCTGTGTGGGGGTGGGGGGCGTCCGGCTGAGCTGGTGGGGGCCGCGCAGGACGGGAGTGTGCGCGGGCTGGGCTAGGGGGCAGGGGTGGAGTGCCCGCGTGGGGTGCCGGACGACCCTGGCAGCGGAGGCCTTGGCCCTGAGGTCAAGGAGGCCTACATTGCTCCATCCGTCCACCGATTCCCGGGAAGCCCTGCTTGTTCCTGGGCTGATGATTCAGAGCTGTCTTCCTTTGGAGAAAAGCACTTGAGATGTGGAGGGTTATTTCCCACCCCCCTGAAGTGCCATGAGGCGGCAGGACAGGAGGGAAGGGGGTTTCCAGCAGGCGGCGGCTGGGAAGCCGTGCCGAGAGCCGGGCATGAGGTCACTTGCAGGCAAGACACTGCCCATCGCCCTCCCCCTCCCGGTGCCCCCAGAGGCTGCGCGGGCAGGCCGGGACCTGGCTGGACGCCGGGTCACTTCCAGCTCAGGACACACAGTGTTCTTGGTGAAGCCTCCAACACCTGTGGGGGGCTGCCCAGCCTGACACTCCCAAGGCCACCAAACGGGCCACGGGCCACGCCCAGGGAGAGCCTGGGCTGGAAGGGGTATGAGGGACGCTGCCGCGGGGGGGCCTGGGCAGCGCCCCCCTGGGCCTCTGCCCCTGCCCCGAGCTGCAGCAATGCTAACTGCCTTCCAGGAGGTCTGGTCCCGCGCGTCCTCGCAGACAGGATGCCCAAGCCCACTTGTGGCCATGGCGAGTCTGGCCTCACCCTCGTCTCTCTGCAAGCTGCATTTCCTGAAGGCTGAGGGGCAAGAGGAAAAGTCCCAGATGGCGCATGGGCCCTCTGTGCCGGCGTCTCACTGGAGGTCTGGGGCGGCGCGTGCTTCTGGATCGTGGAACAGCGCTCCAGGCGATTCCTCCTCCGGCTCGCGGCTGGCAGCTCCTGCCTCCGCGACCGGATGGGGTGCCGGCCCTGCAGCGGGGGTTCAGGCCTGCAGGGCGGCACGGAGCGAGCGGGCCGGGGCTTGCACCACAGGACTCTGGGGAAGCTCGTGGAACCTGGCCGGGCCTCAGTTTCCCCAGTGTGAAGCAAGGCAGACCTTCCAGTGTCCGCCCTGTGGCTCCTGGCACAAAAGGTCCACGAATGACGTCCAGTCACTCGTCATTGCTTCATTACAGCCTTGAGAAAAAACAAATCCTGGAAACAGAAAGGACGAGGCCGCCAGACCCTGCTTTCGCTCTGTGTTGTTTAGCTTCAAGCCGCAGTTTCGCTCAAGACGGAGGTGAGGACTAAGTAGGGTCATGGGACAGTTGGCCTCTGTCCCCAGTGGAGAGGGAGGTGCCCTGCCCTGCCCCGGTCCCACCCCCACCCAGGAAGGGGACTGCCTGTCCCTGAGGGTCCTTGCTGCTGTGGGCCCGGGGGGTGCCCAGCAGGCTCGCAGGCAGCCTACGGACAGACTTGACAGCACCTGACCAGGGGTCGGCCGGGTGGGTGGGGAGGGCGGCCTGGGCAGCCCGTGCCCCCGGCCCCCACCCTCAGGAGCAGCCTCCACCCGGGCGTGCGGATGGTGCCCGTTGATGCTCTGGACTCAATCTAGGTTTTATGCAAGGCCCTGGATTTTTCTCAGCCAGGCATAAAGCCGAGCATCTGCGAGAATCTGTGACCCCATTTCCAGGCCTTTCAGGAATTCGTGCTGGCATGCCCACTCTGGCATGAACATCACCCCACTGTTGGTGGGGGCGTGGGGGCCTTCCTGTGTGCCCTGACCTCCCCAGCACAGCACAAACTAGCTCCTGGCCCCCACAGGGCTCCAACAGCCCCAACCCACAGATCCGCAGCCGGGGCCTGGGGAGAACCTGCCTGGGTGAGGGATGCAGGGCTCAGACCCTGGAGGGCGGGGCTCCTGCTTTCCAGCCTTGGGGAGGGGTCTCCCCTCGGAAGCGGAGACCACCTGGCCAAGCAGGGCGAGCGGCTCTGTCAGGCCGAGGTCACCCGGAGAGCCTTCCCGGCCACCACGCCACCAGCCAGGCGCCACCAGCCAGGCGCCACCAGCCACAGGCCATTCTTGGTAACTTTTTCACTGCTAAGTTTAGGTTTACAAGGAAACCCCAGTTTTCACTGCCACCCTGGTATTCGGTACCCACGAAGCTGAGTCACGCCGGCGAGAGCAGGTACTTCCCTGGAACAGCCCAGAAGCGTGAGGTTTCCCAGCCCCGCTCCTCCTTGGGACAAGAATTATTTACATATTTTCAGCTCACAGGAACACAAGGGACTCTCACAGTTTATGTCCAATGTCAACACGACTCCATTAAATATTTCTTATTTATTGCGTCTGGGGAAATGAGAATCGGTTCACCCGGGCTTTTTCAGGGCTGCTCGAGACCTCGGAGGACTCGCGTGTGTGGCCAAGAGGCGTGTCCTACCCCCTCCCCGGGGGTCTTGCTACTGCAGGCGGACCCTCTTTGGGGGGTTCCATCGCAAGTCCTCGAGGTGGCTTTGGGGCGGGTCCCGTTCTTTCTGGCGGGAGCGCCTGCCTTGCCTGTGGGACCTGCTGGGGCACACTCACGCCCCAACTTCACAATAACTTCCAAAGGCAAAGCTTGAGGGGGTCATGTAGCCAGTCCTGTTGCTGACTAGGCAATGCCAGGGGCCCAGTGGTGGGCCTGGGGACGGTGGCCCCTTTCTTTGCAGGGACCTGGAGGTGGCGGCCGATGGCTGAGGCCGGCCTGGCCCGTGTGCTGGTGCCACAGCCGCCCGCTCTGGCTCTTCAGGAATTCTTGGCTCTGCCTCGCTCTAGCCGACACCAGAGGCCCGGGACCACCTTGCCGGCCCCTGAGGCTGGCCCCGTGGGGGCGCAGGCAGAAGACTGGCCTGAGGGGCACCGCCTGGTCGGCAGCCCGTGTTCAGCTCTCTGGCCGCAGCCCCCCAGCCCCTGGGCCTCCCTTTGGTGCTCAGCAGCCACAGGGTTTGGAATGGCAGGTTGGAGGTGCCGAGGAGGCCCGGGCCCCTCTGCAGGCTCCCAGCACAAGGCCTGGGAAGCGTGGCCTTCTCTCCTCCTGCTGCTCCAGCGTCCTCTCAAAATTGAGCACCAGTGCGGCCCGGCCCGCTCCTCTCCCGGTCTCCACCCAGCCTGGGCCTTTCCTTCCTGGGCTTCTGGGCTGTCTTGGCTGGGCCCTCCCTCCGGGGCCCCAGGGACTTCTGCCAAAATGGCCTCCTCTTACAGCAGGGGCCTTTCTCTGTGAGCTGGTGAGCGCACCCACAGGGGCCGTCTCCATGGGGGCGTGGAGGGGCCCTCCTCCGGGGAGCCTGCTGGCAGTCAGAGGGGGCGGCGGGACACGCCGGACAGTTGGTGGAAGGGCGGCAGATGGGTGCTGCAGCCTCTCCGGACACGCAGGCACAGCATCTTGGTGCCGGGCTGAGGGGGCCTCGCGCTGGTCTCCACAGGACCCGGGCGGGCAGGTGGCTGGGCTGTGCCTGGCCGAGCGGCAGCCTGCACACGCCCAGCGCTCGCTTCAGAAACTGCCTGAGCCCCCAGGGTGAGGACCCCGGCCTGGGGCCATCCCTGGGTTGCTGCCCTTGCACCCCAGCAAAGGCCCTCCCCCCGACTTTCCTTCCCTGGCACCAGCGGGGGCTGCTGTCTTCTAGGTCCGAGTGGGTCAAACGCGGGGTCAGCAACTGAAGATGAGGGTCAAAAAGGGTCCAGTCTGGCTTTGAGGAGCGGGGCGAGGGCGGCCTGTAGCGGGGGCTGGCCGTGCCCCCTCCTGGCCGGTCCTCAGGTCACGCCAGGCCTCCCGGCTGCGCGGCCGAGAAGCCTCTGGCTCTGGGCGCTGTGTGTACCTGAGAATACCTGTGTCTTCTTCAGTTTTGCTTAAAAAATATTCTAGGCTTTCCAAGAAGGTACTTGATCGTTCCACCGGCTTGCAGAGTTAGCGAGTCGTACAGAAGTGAGAATCCTTGAGGAAAGTGGCCAAAGTCAGGCCAGGAACTCTCACGCCAAAACGCTGGGACGTTCAAGGGAAAACGAAAGTGAGACCTGTGACATCCAACCTGACGGTGGAAGATGTTTTGGATTTTTTTTTAAAGACTTTTTTAAATAAATGTTTGTCATCTGCTGCCAAAGCAGAAATAAATACCCAAAGGAGATGCTTATCTAAGTTCTACAAATTTCTACTCAAAGTGACCTTGTCTGCTTCTTCTGTGCATACGGGGGAGAATGACAGAGGAGCTCGAGGCTGGGAGCAGGCGTCCGGCCACTCGGCCCAGGAGCCCCCGAGACCAGGAGCCCGGCTCCTCCATGGGCCGCTGGGTCACAGGGGGGCGCCCCGCAGTCCCCGCCTGCGCTCAGAGGTTCCGACCTGGATTCTAAGGGAGCGCGGGAGGGCAGGAGAGGTGGCTGCAGGGTGCGGGGCCTTGGAGAGCTGGGGCGCCCCGGCGGGGCCCTGCCAGCCCTGGCAGAGGCCCCTCAGTGCTCAGCAGCGTCCTCGGGCTCGGGCTCGGGCTCGGGGTGAGCAGCCTCTTCCCCTGGGGGCGCGGCCCTGGCAGCGGGTGTGGGCGACGGGGGGATGCTGGTGAGGGTGCGGAGGCTGCAGGGGTCCACGGGAGGGACGAGGGTCAGCGACTCCACGCTCAGCGCGTCGGCAGTGTCCTCGCAGAGCAGCGAGATGGTGGGCTGCGGCGCGGGGACGAGGCTGGGGGACAGGTTGGCGGTGTCCACGTCTGCGCTCCTTGCCGGGGTCTTGCCGGGCCTGGCGTCTGCTTCTGTTTCGCTGACCGTCGCCAGCTGGTCAGGGAGGTGAGGCTGAGGCGGTTCTGTCGTCAGGGAGTCATCTGGGCGAGGGGAGAGAAGCCAAGGCACACTTAGCTCGGAGACGGCACCCGCTCCCGTCCTGCACACAGGCCCAGGGAAATCCGGGGGGCAGAGGGGGAGGTGGGAGATGCTGGCGTGGCGGAAAGGCTTGTCTCCGCTTTCTCCCGGGGACACGGAAGCTGTCTGTCCAGTCTCCCGGTGGGGAGCCGTCGGGCTCAGGGCCACCCTGACTGGTGATGAGGGAAAACCAGGGGCAGGTGTGTGCTCCGCTGGCGGGCGGGGAAGCGAGTGCCCGGGTGCTGGGAACCGGCGGGGCGGGCTGTGCCGGGGTGCTGTGCCGGGGTGCGTCTAGGGCCCCCCGCCTGGTGATAAACACACGCGTGGGGGAAGTGGCTCGGGAGCTGCTACACCTGGTGCCATTTGCCCAAGAAGAAACCCACTGCCACAGTACGGGGGAAACAGGAATTCTCTGCCGCTCGCCAAACCAAGCCAGAACCCGGGCTGTGGGCCTGCTGAGAGCTTAGCTGGCGCCAGACGGGCGCGTGGCCGTGGGGCCACTCGAGCAGCCACGTGGAGGCTCCACCTGATGACGGATGCAGTTCTTTTCAGAGCAGCGATGCCCTTTTGGGGCGCTCTTCAAATTCCTCGTTTGAGTTACAATTTACCGATCTGCTTCCTAGTGACCCTGGCGAACATGGCTGAGGTCATGTGGAAATTTCTTTGTGGAAATTCACCAACACTGGTAAGGAGGGTGGAAATTCACCAACACTGGTAAGAAAGCAGTGGGTCTCTTGCTTGAAAGCAAATTTCTATTTGCACAAACCATGGGGCAAGGAGCCAGGGGGCGGCAGGGGTGGGCAGGCATGCCGGGCCCGGGGTGCTGGAAACGCCTTCGGAATCAACGGGATTCCAGGAACGTTAGACCTTTTTTTCCCTTTTACGTGAAGCCAAAACAAAACAGAAGCACAAACTGAACACAGAGCAAAAGGATGGAAGAACCAAGAGCAAAATAAAGGGCACACAGGGTGGGATGGGGAAGCACAGAGGCACAGAGCCACGCCCAGTCTCCCAAGGCTGCCGCCCGCTCACGGGAGACGCGGCCAGACGGGCTCGAGAGGCTCCGAGCACGTACGTGGTTTCCTATTTGTTTTGTTTTAAGAGAACAGGCGCAGGGAAGATGACTGTACAGGGCTGAGGTCGGCCTGGTTCAGGACGGAGGCTGAGCACGACTGCGCCATGCCTTGGGTGGGGGCCGCGCCCCGAGGTGCCGAGCAGCAATCCCGAGCGCCCGTTTCTCTGGGTCTCAGTGAATGTGCGCCCTTCGGTAAGGAGCTTATGGGGAGGGTCTGGTCCGCTGAGCATAGGAAACGGGGTTCTGAGCATGGGCCTCAGCTGCCCTCTATGCTCCCGTGCGGGGCTGAATCCCAGGCCCGCAGGGTTCAGATAAGGCAAATCCTCCAGAAGGCACTTTGATGGCGCCTGGAGACTGCAGCGCCTTCCCAGGGGCCCTGGAAACTTCCCTCCTGGCTGCATTTGCATGCAGATATTCAAAAAGGCTGGGAACCTCTTTGCCCCACGCCTAGTGGGGCATTCGGGATGAGGCTAATCAAGGCTGTGGGAACGTTGTCACAAAGAAAGAACCAACGAACAACTCCACACACTCAAGCTGGTTTCGTCTTTAGAAAGGAACCAACACTTGTATGAAAGGGGTCAGTTTTTCTCTTAAAAAAGTAGACTGACTTTTCTCACTCGTCAGCCACCACACTCCCTATAAACTAAGAGCTGCTCCCTGAACATGACGTGCAAATACACACGCGGGAAGAGGGAGAACCCGGCCGTCTGCAGGGGAAGCGGCCTGGACCTAGCAAGGGATCACTCCGCTGGGGCGCAGGCTGGAGTCTGGAGTCACCGGTTGGCGTCAGGGAGCACTGACTTGCAGGAGGGGAGGCCGGGGCGGGAATCCCCAGACCCCCGGGTTCCTCTGGTCCTACCCCGAGCTGACCCGTGTCCCAGGCTGGCTCCCTCAAAGCTGGTCTGCAGCTTCGGGGCAGGTGCTTGGCTGACCCTTGTCGAGCGAGTGGCCATTTCCAGTGAAAGTCTGGGTTTGCGGTGCTCAGGCTTAGGGTGGGAGACAGGAGGCGCACAGCACAGCGAGGGGGCAAAGCACAGAGAAAACGGCTTGAAACGCAAAAGAAGGCAAAAGGCTCCTGACTGCCAGGCAGGGGTGGGGAGGGAGCCCCGGGGCCCACAGTGGCCAGGCCGGGGTGGCGGGTGCCTGAAGCGCGGGAGGGGCGGGGGAGGGCCCCATCCAGCCCTAGCCAGCTGGCATTAGGGTTTTCGCTGTACACGGCTGGGCCCACCACTCAGCTTCGAGCACGGGCAGGGGAAGAAAGAAAAAGACAAAAAGAAACAAATTCACTTGGTTGCTTTTTGAAAATTCTACCGCCCGACCCTGGAGGCCTACACTGGGGGGCATTTCAGGATGACATGGGGTAAAGGGCGGGGATTTAAAGGACGGGCCGCCAGACATGCGAGGCCCTAACGGGCTTGGGGGGGCGGCGGGGAGGTGAGCCTGTGGCTCTCGGTGGCCCACGCGCGGCCCCACTTGCGTGCGGGCCCGGCGGTGGTGGGGCGGTGGGCGGGGGCGGCTGGGCCCGCGAGGCTAATGGGGGAGACCTGCCTGCGTGGACCGTGCGGGAGTTGCCGTGACAGCTGCCGGTCGAAGCACTAAACCCAGTGGCCGCCGTGACTGTCGGCCTCCGACAGGCTGAACACTCGCCGGCGTCCTTTCCTGCCACTCCTGACTAGAGGGAAACACAGCGACACATCATAGAAAGCCTTTAGCAATGGGCAGAGGAAGTGACACGGAGGCGACACAGAGCAGCGATGGACACCAAGCATCGACAAGAGCGTGGGGAGCGGCTGGGGGGCTGCCCGATGGAGCTCTGACAGCGGGCGTGTGGCGTGCAGCCCCCCATGCCGGGGACACCCCCACTCCGCTCCCTGGGGCCAGGTGGTGCTGGGACAGCTAAGAACCAAGCGGCTCACGCGGGGGACTCGGTCAGGTAAAGATGGAACAGTTGGGTCCTGCTGGAAAAGAAAGATGCGGTCATCAGTGCAGCGGGCCTCGGTTCGAACCTCTGGGTCAACGAACTCAATCGCCTGTCAGTTTTAGGGTGCATGGCGGGGGAGAATGGAAGTCCGGCACGCGGGGAGAGTTGGGGGGGGGGCTGTGTGGGTGCAGGGCTGCAGCCAACCGGCTCGTGAAAGCAGACCTTGGAGCCCCTGGGGCCGCCTGTGAAAGCCCACAGCGCGGCTCTGTGGGTTCTGGGCACCCTGTGGCCCCCTCCCAGCCACTGGCCAGCGCTCTCGGTCTGAGGCCTGGGGACCCGTGTCTTTGAGAATCAAGACTGAACCACAGCAGGAAGTTCTGCGCTGAGGTGCCATGTGGCGGCAGGCGGGTTCCACAGCTGAAACAAAAACATCAGGCGCATCACCGGCCAGGAAGAAGCACAGACATGGAGTCAGAGGGACGACGCTGGACGTGAAGGCGCAGGACAGACTGCGTGCAAGCGGCGACTGCCTCTGGCTGTACTTAATGGTTCAAAGTGGGTAAATGGGGCCCTCCCTGGTGGCGCCACCGGTTAAAGCACCGCACTATGAAGCTCTCCGAAGCCACCACAGCACGAGTTTGATCCCCGGCCAGGGAGGTGACCCACAGGGTGCAGCAGACCTCTCCTGACCCACCCCCTGCTCCCCTCAGCAGTGGATTTCAGTAGATCTGTCTGTTCTGCTCCCCACTCTGTCTCTGATGAATCCTCTCACCCCCCTGGACCTCTGGCCTGTACCCCAGTTCTGTAAGCATAAATAAGTAAATCTTAAAAAAAAAAAACGGGCAAGTGCTACACTTTGTGGTCTGTGTATTTTACACCGTCACAAAGTGCCTGGGAGACGCTGTGGAGGAAAGCACACCATCTGTCATAAAAGTCCAGTCTGACCACGGCCAGGGATGCGCCTGGCTCTCAGTTGGCCCAAATGGGACTGGGCGCTGGGGTGCAGCCTCCGCTCACACGGCGAGCTGGGGTTGTGTGTGGGGGGGTTCTGTGGCCTCCTGACTGGGCGACTGGGAACCACGCTCCTCCTTTCGCTAGTCCCTTGGGGAAAGAGTCCGGCGGCCACAGCTCAAGCCTCCCCCTGCCTGGCAGTGCACGCAGGGACGGCCACTGCCCTTTATGCAGACTCTGCTTTTCCACACTTCCCACCCCCTACATGCCGTGGGAAGCACAGGGCCCCGAGGCTGGGGCAGAGAGGCTGTCGGGCGCTAGGGTGGGTCACAGGCTCCTGGCTGAGGGGCCACGTGTGCCGCTGCCTCGCATGTGCGTGTGCACACGGGCGTGATATGGAAAATCTTCCTAAGATATTCCTACTCGTCCCACAATTGGTGCCAAAATTGGGTCTATTTTCTTTTCTTTTTCCCGCCATACGTTCTCTACAATTTCAGCTTCTCAAAACCATAAAATGCTTAAGGGGAAAACATGCTGACTCAACCCTGTAATTTTCTCACTGCGGAACGAGCTGAGGCCTGCAGACCAGCTCTGCCGGCGAGTGGGCGATGCGCCGCCGGGTCCCGGGCGCCCGCCCAGCCGGCGCCCACTCTGGGACGGGACGGGCTGCTCCTCTGCCAAGCACAGTGGGAGCAAGGGGCCTCCTGTTTCAGGTGTCAACAGACAGGTAAACAGCTGACCATGCAGGAAAGAATCTTCTCAATCCCCACTCCGACTGGTTCCTCTGGTCACCGAGGAATTTGGTCTTGACCCTCCCTACAGTCTGCAGCATCTCTTGGCCCCAATTTGAGGGAAGCCCTTGCTGAAAAACCCTGTCAAGTGTCCCCCCTCACAAGCGTCACACGTGCCCCCTCACACGCATCCCCTCACAAGCGTCCCCTCACACATGCCCACTCACATGCACCCTCACACGCGTCCCCTCACACGCGTCCTTTCACAAGTGTCCCCTCATACACGTCCTCACACGCGTCCCCTCACATGTGCCCCCTCACACGTGTCCCCTCACA